AGGAAGCTTCAACATAGAAACACGTCTACGAAACTGAGTAGGACTCATATGGTAGTGCTTCACATGAAGCTTATAAAGCTCTACCTTGTCCTCCAGTCTCTGTAACATCTTCCTATATGCCGGTGTCATTGCAACAACTTCACTACCAGGTAATGGGATTGAAATCCGCCTAGGCTCAAGAGCGCCATCACCTGGTTCAAGTGGTTCATGTTTATCACTTGATGGTCCTTTTGATGCTTTAGGAATTTCTACAAGTTCACCTTCTGGCCTCTCAGGTGGTTCTGAGGGAGCATACTCCTCAAGATCATCACCCTTTAAATCATTCTGAGGCTCAGATGGTTTCGACTTGTGTCCCTTCCAAAATGGATCAAAACCCTTGGAAGTATACCGAAACTTTGGCGGCGCGGGCTTTTCCGCGGCACTTGATGGTGCACCTTCCTTCTCTGACGAGAAGCCTGGTGGGAACCTTCTCTGAGGAGGAGCGCACCACTGCATCGGGATCACCAATGCCACGGCGCTCAATGCCAGCCTTCCTGATCTTTAGATCTGGAATTTTGGCATCTGGTTTGAACTTAAAAATTGTTCTACCACGCCATTCATAGCCAATTTGTAGGTCCTTCCATTTTGCCTTGCGCCAATCATCTAGCTTCTTGATTTCTTCTCCTCCTTTCTTCTTCTTGATGATTGTCAGTCGCAAGTCTTCCATTCCAGTAAGTCAGTGTCTACAGGACAGGACTTAGTTGCTGGAAAAAGAATCTTTCTATAATCCTTGTGGTGACGTATCAGTTCTCTCTTGTGAACATCTACTTCCCAGTAGGCAACCACAGGATATGCATGTTCAGCTACATCTTCATCACTATTGTGATCAACAGAAATATGACCGTATTCATAGTGAGTGAAGTGAGAGTAAAAACTCTTCTCGCGCCGAGTCTGCAAATTCACGTCAGACAGATACCATGCAATATCTTGGAAGTCCAAGACAAGATGAGTACTGGCTGCAACCTTCAACTCCAAATATTTGATACCAAGAGGCACCGATGTCAGATAAGCATGTTGAGGTGTCAGCCTGAGTTCAAAGCCTAAGTTCCTCATCTGTGGCAAGCTCATAAGCAAAGGGACTTCTCCTTCTTCCACTATGTCGAACTCTGTATGGTGGATCGTCCATGCACGATCATACATGTAAATCACCAGTTTCTGAGAGCAAGTAGCCTTCTGGGAATTGGCAAAGTAAAACTTGCTCTTGGTAGCCTCAAAAGAGTACCATAATCCACAATCTGGGTGATTGTCGACATAGTTGCAAAAATGGTCGACTGCTCGCCTTGATCCCATAGCTCTAGTGCATCCAATGTCCAGGATTGCAATAGTCGGCGGGAAGCGATTCTCAGTCAAAAATGAAATGGCCTGCATCTCCTTCACTTCTTCCTCAGCGCTCATAAGCGCAAAGCCATCAGGAGCCTTTGTGAGCATCTCCTTTGACAAAGAGTACCTCACAGGGGCACTCATGCCATTGAAGATCGTCTCACCATTGTTGACCGCGCAGTCAGCTTCATCTTGACATGAGGTCATCATGCCTGACAGCAAGTTCACCTCACTGTCATGGACTTCAGCTGCTGCTGTCACACAATGTGCAAAGAAACCTTGTTGACCTCCTGATGCTTGTGAAGATCTTGAAGGTGCAGGCAAAGAACGTGGCTGTTGTTGATTTGCATAGTTTGCATCTTGTTTGCCATCTCCTTTATCTTTTCCTTTTCCTTTCTTGCCTTTTCTCTTGCCTTTTCCTTTTCCTTTGTGGGAAAACCATGCTTCTTCAAGCTGTTGCCAAAAGTCATTGGCATCATCATATTCTCCTTGAAGATAGTCATTCATATCTTCGGCAAGAATGGCATCATATGCTACTTGGTTTGACTCCCAAGTGTCCTCATAAAGATTCTCTTCATAATACTCATCTGGAAAAGTTGTCTGTTGCTCATCAGCAAAATGGCCTTTACCTCGTCTCTTTCCTTTTCCTTTTCCACGAGGTCTGAAGAATCTGCGGCCTGATCTTCCTTTACCTTTTCCTTTTCTTCTTCCTTTTCCTTTGCCTTTTCTGGCTCTTCTTCCTTGGAATCTCCTCTGGAACCAAGAGAAATTCTGTTCATCATATACCCAAAAGACATCGTCTAGGGCATCTAGGAATCCTTCTGTTCCATCTTCTTCATCTTCGGCCCAATAGCCAAATGTACCATCGAGTTCTCCTTCGTCTAGTACGAGAAATGATCTTCTACCTCCAGCACCTGTCGGCTGCATCAAAGGATTGTCTACTGAAGTCTTTGTTGTGCAGAACATCTCAATGAATACTGTCCTCAACTCTGTTGTGGTGTATTGCTGCAGGACCCTGCCACGATGAGTCATCAAAGAAGTCAAAGTGTTTCGCTGGTCCTGAGACAAATCTGCAAGTGACAGCATGAGTAAGGCAATCAGATTTTCTCCCAAAGGAAAATCATTCTGATGAAAAGTTCTCATATTGCCATTGATGGTCTGCATGATTTCCTGAATTCTTTCTGCTGTTGGAGTTACTCCAGTCAACGCTGCATCAGCCTGCATCTGAGCTAGGACCTGTGGATGTGCTCGAGTGACTGGTTCTAACATGTCCATCCAACTGCTCATAAGCCTTTGGAGTAAAATCTGGAATCTTGTCATCCATTTCATCATGTCAGCTGATCCTCGATTGAAGCGCACGAATTGCATAAATCTATACAGGAATACATTGGTTGATCCTTTCACGAAATATGGTCGTAGTACTCGTATGAAATATTCTACGCCGGCTCCTGGTGGATCATTTGCCTTCAATGCATCTCTGTCTAAAACACGCTTGTATACAGCTGCTTCTCCTTCTAATCTGTTTCTCAATGCTGGTCCTCTCTTCTCATCTTCCAGCTCGGTGATATCACACCAATCGTCTATGGCATCCTCATAGGAAAACCATGAAGTCTTTCCATCATAAGATGGGGGCACCTTTGTAGTGACCTGTGTTGTCATTGCTATTGCTGCTGGTTCTCTTCTCACATGCCTATTCACGTAGGCTGCTGGCTCATAAGCCACATCCGCATCAGGCTCTTCCCAGTCGTCTATCCAATCCATGGCTGTTTGCCCACTAGCAAGTCTATGCCTAGGAAAGGAGCTCACCTGGGTCTTCCAGGATCACTGCTCCGCTACCACTGAAAGAGTGACTAGGGCGTACACGGTAGAGGTGCAGACCGCTAGTGTCTTTTATGCGCAGAGTCTTATCCTCTTGCTCTTTGAGCCTTGAAGCAGTCAAGTATGGACACACTATATCGGCTGTTGGAGTGGAACCCTGTACAGGTAGGCTCTACTTTTCAGGGGGGGGTCTTCGACCTGAAAAATCAGGGGTTAGGATTTGCACCCGGTCGAAAGAAACCTTGCTATCGCAAGAGTAACTCCAGCTAGCTTCGCTAGCTTTCGTGATATCAATTCCACAATTTGTATATTTCTCTCCTGGTAGCATTCTCTGTTTTAGGCTAAACGCACACATTACAAAGCTACCTCTGGTATCAAAGCCCAGCAACCCCCTCAGAAACTCAGAAACTAAGGGTATTGGATGCATGTGAACTTACACGCATTCTGCGACACGGACACGCTTACAAAGCTGGTAGGCCAGCAACATCAGGAACAATAGGAAACGCAGCTCATCTACTATAAATATTATTGTTCTTTCTCGCGCCCACTCACCTCCGATCAACTCGGCCACTTTGAGCCTCAAAGAAAGACAGCACCACAGTACGAAAAGAATGCCCGTGAATCTTTCCTGCTTCTGCTAGAAGGGCCCACGAGTGTGTAGTAAGCCTGCACAATGATGCTCTGGGGTCTAGTCTGGTCCTTCTCGATCGGTCGCAAAGCCTTAAGGCTCCCGAAATGTCAGAGTTGAGGGCATGCCGCCATTTTGGATGCCTGCACGCGCCCCCTCTAAAACAAAAGAGGTGCTGCGGGTCCAAATGCTCTACACGATTGCGTTTTTTTCCGGCCGCTTTGAAGGCTGAGCTCACGCCCACGACAGTCCGTGCCAACGTGTAGAAAAATACATCCCTTTTCCCATGATTGACAGTTCGGAAGGGGAAATGGAAGTGATACGTGAGGAGTGTCGTTGTCCCTGCTATCGGCATGTAGTTGCGTGCTCTCTCTGTGACTGGCCGTGTGGCAAAATGTGGTCCTCTGGGTTCCGGAAGGTTCTGTATTGTGCATCTCCCCCTTCGCTGCAGGTACACGGTGAAGCTGATCATTTCTCACAAGCGTGACAAGCTTGGGAATGGGAGGATTCTGCATCGACTCACTGGAGGCCATTGAGACATCCCTATTGCAAACCTTTGGCGTCTCCTCATGCATCTTCGCCCACCAACAAATACCAGGGCCACCAAAAAATTGAAGTAAAGCATGCCATCCACAAAATCTGGTTAGGTAGCGTTGACGGTACGCTTGAGGGGAGGGGAGGGGGGTCAGGGTATGTAGGACCAGCTATCTGATGGACAGCTCTGAATCTTCCAGCAAAGCCCTCCGCATCCACAAAGGTTGAGCACTGCAGTAGAAGTCAACGTAAACAGCTGAAAAAACAAGTGTAGGCCCTCTCTTGCACAGGTCCTGAATGCCGATAACTACTGCTTGGCACAATTTGCTCCGAGATACTGTCAGTGATGATTTTACACAGCCTAGTGTCCCTACAATTATTCCAAGCTTAATGGCATGCCACACGTTGGTTTTTAGCCCCAACACCCACACACTCAGTTTCCTCACCCAATGGATTTGCAAAACTTTGACAAGTTGGGGTGTAATTGCTGTAATGGCCACACAATGTCGGACGCCAGGCACCTAAAGGATTGGCGAAGGAACGCCCGGGGAAAAAGCCAAAACTGAACGAGGAAAAACGGCTTGTTGTTGTGTTCCATTCATGAGTTGAAGTTGCATGAAAGGTTCAAGTCAGAGTTGAGCATAATGCCTACGTATAATGCCTACGTGGGCGACAGCCTGGCAAAACCGCGATTTTCGCTCAAGGATCTCCAAAGCATGCTTTCTCGCAGACTCAGAGGACTCCGCATGTGAAGGAGAGCAGTTTCACCACATCTCAAGACTTTTTGTGCGGTAAAGTATCCTGTTAAATCGGCATTATCAACCATGAGACCTTGCACGAAAACACGTTCGTAGCTTGTGCGAGCTTGGGCGAACATGATATCTTTGGATTTTGGATGCTGTTGCCTGCGCTGTGCAGGCATGGAGCAAGCTTTGGACATGGCGCTCATTTTATCCTTGGAATTAGAGCTTGGAAAATAAAGCGCTTGCACGAGGCCGCCGCGAGGCCCTTGAGGCTTGTGAAAAGCTTGTGCCAGTTTGGCCCCGTGCAAATCTATGAGAAGAACAAGTCCCATCGAATACATAAGTGGTCTGCCGGCAGTTTTCAGCACGTTGTGAAGGAGCTGTGGTCACTTCAGTCAACAATCTGCAGTTCACTTTCCTTCGAACAGCACATAGGACCCAAGAAGTGAGCCAATACCGATGCACCGGCATTCGTCTGTCTCTCACATTCACTTGTTCTTACTGGTCCTGGTGCTGCAGCAAGTGTCAAATCGACAGCCTAAGGCAATCTCAAAATGTGGGGCAATCGGCAACAGAACAGGCAAGCATAGTTGAATGGGTTGAACTCTTTTCCTTGCTGGCGCTGTATTTTTCAGGAACGTCGTGCTCTGCTTAAGGTGTGGCTGGTCTGAGTTGCAAAGCATAGGGAGAAAAGCTTTGTTTCAGGGTAAAACCTCACGCGCTGAGCTTAATTACCCCATGCCCCCATCACTGCATCACATGTTTTGCTTCTTTGTTTCCCCTCTCTGGAAAGCATGAATTGCAGTTTAGTTTTGTGACTGCCTCGTGAAAACGCGGCCCAAGGATGAGGACATGTGCTAGCAGCCAGCATTAGTGTTTGACCTTCCATTTGTTATGTACTCCTGCAAGCACTTTGATCTTGCATGCCCATACGAAACCTTGGAAATGCCCTACTTACAAGTCCCACAAATTTGACAGCTGTGCCCTGCCCTGAGTTTAATAGAAACAAGTTCTGGCAGCCAGGGATGGGCCAGTACACTGTGGAAGTTTGTGTGCATTGCGACGTGCAAGAGACTTGTGGCAACTATTCAAAGCTGGCACTGCTTGTGCATAGGAACAAAAGAAGAGTCTAAGCTCAGAGTGGTGTATATATAATCCTAGCCTATCCTGTCCGCTCTTTGTGAGAAGCAAAGCACCCCAAGTCACCTGCAATCTGGTCAGAGTCTTTGACAAGAAACAGCTTCAGGCAGTGCCTCAGATAGTTTTCACTTTTCACTGACAGCTGCATTGTACTTGCAAGAAAATCATATCTGATCCCCAAGTTCGCCGCGAAGTAGTCTTGGCTGACAAACTTGCAGGTATACAAATCAAGGAGCTCAGTTTCTGACCGTGCTAGGTGGCTGCGGATACGAAAAAAGCCGACTGAATGTTGAAGGGGGACATGATTAGCCCAAGTCATGAGCTGAAGCATGATCACACACGAAAAGCTCAATCATGGTTGCTTCAACACAGCTCTGCAAACCTACCAGCTCAAACTCTGTGGCCATAACACCCCGAGTGGCCAAAGCGAAGACAGCTGCAGATTACCTGTAGTGACGCCACAAGTGATTTGCCTCGGAATGCCTACTGGCCTAATGAACCTCAGCTGTGTGAATATAATTATTAGAACCAAGCCGAGGACCGGCCGCTCATGCTGCTACCAACCCCCCAACTCCCTGCAGTATCTCGCACAAACTGTGGCGAGAACACCACCGCTGGCTATGCTTCACACACACACACACATGCGAATGGTGAGCCGCTCAGCGATGTTGTGAGCAAATTATTCACGGCGGTCATCTTGCTCTGGGATGTTCTGGGTGACTACCACAAAGCTATATACAGTTATATCATGCTATTGCCTCAGTTGTCTAACAAAAAGCTTCTTGGTCTTTGATGCCCACACACTTCAACACAAGGGCCACAGTCTTTGGATGCACGCAAGTGGCCATGCTCACTACTTCCTGAGTTTCGTGCTTACATGCAAAGCGGCAATGTTCGCTTCCTTGTCTTTGCTATTTGTATTGAGCCAGTTCTGACAGTTCTGACGTGTCGTGGGATCGACCAATATAAACAAGCATGGGATGGACGTCGCTCATTGTTGATACTTTCCAAGCTGGTCGCTCTTCGACACTCTCGCAAAATCTCGCAAGCCGCTGCATGGTGAAAGAGTAAGCAGCCTGTTTACCTTGAAGAACTGACTTTTGGATTTCAATTGCGGAGAAGAAAAAGAAAGGTTTTGCCTCTAGGACCCTTCGGCCCTGTACAACAAACTTTGGCAAAGGTTCTCACTCAGCAAAATTTGAGCACAAAACCTCAGGAGCGTCACGTCAGTTTCCAAAGAGCGTCGTTCCTCGCTTGTCGTTGCGTACAATTCATGAGCTGAAGCCGCGTGAAATGTCCGCGTCAGAGTTGAGCATACTGTTCTGCTTGTGGCACGTCCAAACCTGAACGAAACTGTAGGAGTAGTCATTTTGTCTATCTTGGGAAGGCTGAAGGCCTTGCATGACAGGAAGTTTCTCTTTTCACAGCGCAGCCGTGCTGACAAAGACAAGAATCAAACGAACGAGGAGAATGACAAAACACATTGTGATCATGTGCCCGTGAGATGTGCACCAATTGCAAAAAACCGCTGCTTCATCAACCGCCCTGATGCAAAACACATGGTTGACCATGGCCCACATTGCTCGGCCTGGCGCAAACAACAGCAACTCGATGTCTTTCATGTTCCCTTCGAATCTGAGGTGGCACCTACTCTTTGGGCAGTGCCCTTCGTCACATCCAAGGAGGGGTTATCAGCGTGCTGCTCAGCGTAGCTTTGAAGATCCACTCTTGAAACATGCAGCAAACGCAGCAAAGCCAAATGCGCAGCATGCGGACAGCCAGGTGGCATCAAAGGCAATCAGCATGAGTGTCCACAAATGAAGCTACGCGGCATCATTCTTGCAAAAGGTATGTAGCGATGTGTTTGATGGCTAGCCTTTCGAATGTCAACTGCATGAACTACAGCACGTCTTCCCTTCAAGTATGTCGTGGTCTGCTTCGTGCATTGCTCGGCCACTCGATTACACTGTACCGAAGCTGGGGGCTCCTCCCACACTGCGCAGAATTTGAAGTGGTGCTTGAAGCGTAGTAGCACGAGGATTCAAACACCTGTATCCTACTGACAGCTCTCCAGCAAGAAAGGTGTTGTTCTTGTTGGATGGGTGAACTACCAAAACCTGCAATTGTTCACATTGGCTGATGCATGTTCCAACACCTCTCCTCGGACTTCAATCGTTGGAATCGTCTGCCAAAACCGGTGGAAAGCGAAAAGGATATGACACAAGAAACTTATTACTTTTGAGAGAGGCCTATCGCCTTTCCAGGACCCCAGCCACACTGACATGATTGTCGTTTTTGTGGCCGATCGCTTTTGTTTTCTCTCTTCCCGTCTGGCTAAGTTCAAGTGATTGAAGCAAAACTACTCAGAAAGCTTCACTCGGAGTCGTACTATCCCACATTGGCTCGCTGCCTAAAACCTTCAAGGTATGGGAGCTTGCAGAAAGAGATTGATCGGCCTGAGAGAGCAAAAACACCTTCCACATAAAATGCTCCGCACCGCTAAGGCAAGCACTGAGGTGTCCCAACTGAGTGCGTCTGCCGGCACCTTGCTTGTCATCCCGAAAGCCCTGGCAATGCAGCTGGGTGACGAGCTGTCTTGAAGCACCGAGCTTTTTGCGTGGGTTCAGAACTCTCCCGAGTGATTGAAGCAGTGTGGCCCACACCGCTTCCCCGAATGCTTTTGGAAGGCCACGCTGGCTCACGCTGCCTCATCGGCTTGTCTTCGAAGATTCAGAGCACGGGGGCAAAGCAGCCCGACCAGAAGACACCAAGAGCAGCAAGGCAAAGTCTAGTAAGCGTTCAGTCACTGGCCTGGCATGCACAAATTTGCTGGATCAGGCCTTTTTTCGAGGAAGCCAACATCATTTCG